AAAAAAGCTTATAATCCTATTAAAAAAAAACTTTTTAAATTTCAAATAACGTGATTTCTAGAAAAGTACCGAAAGCCATAAATTTTTGGTATATTTTAAACTAATAAATTAATAACAGTTTTTATCATCTTAAGATAAAAAAAAAATTTTAGTTTTTTTTGTTCTTGAAAAGAATTCAACAAAACTTGAAAATTTAAAATAATAAGATTTAACTATTCAATTTCATATCCTTGAATGATAATATAGTTCTGAAGGTATGTAGACGATGAAGATTTTTTGTCTAAAGTAAAACGCTAAATTTGTAATATAAAATAAATCAACTCCAATAATTCATCGTAAATTGAATACACTTATGCGGTGTACAATAACATCACATTGACGTTTATGGAGGTACATGTATCATAGACTGCGGACAAGTAATGAGTATTTATACACACCAACGTCTAATATACAGAGTAATGTAACATAATTAGTGTCAAGCTAAAGTGGCATTCATCATTATCACTACGATGGAGTAGCGTTGAAGCATCGTTACGCCTAAATTAATCAATTGGCGAGACCAGCGTCACACATGTACACGTGCGTTTGAAAGCAGATAATGCTTGCTGTGGCACGTGTACCTTTATCATACAAAAAAACTAAGCTCATGAGGCGGAGCTGTTTTCTGTAATTAACAATTTTAACTACTTGGTAGTTACATAAATTTTATCTCCGATTACGTAAAATGAAGTAATTTTATGTTATAAATACTTTGTTAAACAACGCATTCAATGTTATGTAAAATTTTAGCGATAAAGCACGTATACTGAGAAAATAATTATCAAAATTACAGTTGAAAAACCCTAATAATAAGCTTGTGGTATTTTACACTTTAAAGAATACTTTACTATTCAAATAAAAAAAATTTATGGTATCAATGATGCTTACACTGATTTTTACTCTTTAAAGTTTTCAAGCTGTAATTTTTATTCTTATTTTTCTTAGTCCAATAAAATGCGATGGTATGAAAAAAAAATTATTTAGCTGCAATGTCGTGTTGGTCATTAATTTTTATGTTGCCACAAAACGGCTGCTTTACAACATTACATCGTTGCCATGTGACGAATCAATGTATATCAGTGATTACGTAATCTGACTTGCACATGATTATTTAAATTTTTCACATTTCCTCCTGTTAAATTATTATTTTTATTATTTTTTTTTTTGAAAATGTAAGGTACAAATGTCGCTGGAAGATTTTTTCTTCAAGTACTGAGTTATTAGGAGCAACAAAAAAAATTTTTTTCAACATAAAATTTCAGCACAAAATTTTTTGGAAAAAAATCGCAAACGCAAAGTGCTTGAAAAAAAAAAACAAAAAAAAATTATTAACGCTTTACGTCTATTAAAAAAAAAAAAATAATAAAAAATCCCCCAGCTACTTGGTTTCATAGACAACATTTTCAAAAAAATTAGACAAGCATATAACTAAGTATGAAGTCAAATGAGGGAACCCACACTCACCCCCGTGCTGACGAGCGACAGCATTATCCTCTCGTTGAGTGCGAGGGTCTCACCCTGCTTCATCTTGATGCGCTTCTTGTCGAGGCATTTCATTGCGTACATCTTGCCCGTGTCGGCCTTACGGCAGCCATACACCTCGCCGAAACCACCTCGGCCGATTATCCGATGCACACTGAAGTCGTTCATCGTCAGCTGTTGGGGTGTGCGACAGCAAAAACCATTATTAAATTTTTTCTTTCTTTTATTGGGTGAGGTGGGATGGAATGCGACTGAGGTTCTTTTGCTTTCTCAAAGTGTGAGCGGAAAAATATATTATTTTTTTATGTCTTTCTATCCTGAAAATTTATGTTAAAAAAATATCTCATTGTATCTATAATGTGTTTGTGTGGTGAAAAAAGAATTTTTTAATTTCAAGTAGTTTTTTTTTTTTGTAAGGATTGAAAAATTTTGTTGTGATTTTGCAACCATTTTTAATCCAAATTTCCTTAAATAAAATACGTTTTTTGGATTTTATAGAATAATACTTAGAAATTGATTAAATATTAATAATAAATAAAAAAATACTCATTGAAAGTATCTTCAAATGAGAGATGATTTTTATGAGATAATATTTATATCGATTAAAATATATAATTTTCCTAAAAATTTGCGGTAGTTCCTGAAAAAGCATATAAAAATTCATACAAATAATGTGTAGGAGCTTCTTTGAGACAGCACATGCTAAAGCAGTTAGGATCATATTTTTCAATAGGTACAGTGGGTATAAATGAAATAACAGTGTTTTTTACGAATATCAATCACTGATAATGATCGCTTATAATAAAATTTATTGTGAAAATTAAATCAAGCATTTTAGCGTATGGTACGTGTATTATTTGTATCTTTTTCATCCAACGCCCTAATTTGTATTTTAATTAGGGGGAATATTGAGCACAAATTGATTCGAGAGGGTTGTGCTTGATTATAATTTTATTTGTTTAATGGAATTAAAAACAAAAAAATAATAACAAAGTAAAGCAAAACAGAACAAAAGAAAGAAACAAGCAGATTCGATCGTAAATGCAAAATAGTTCTTACTTGAATGTTGAGCTCGAGGTTCTTCCATTGACAGAATCGGGTGTACTTGTCGCTAAAACAAAGTTTCGTACTGATTAAAAAGTTGGTCCTTTTTTTCTGCTCTTTGGAAAAAGTTTTCGTTTTCTCCCGAACCACTCAGCGGGTGGCAGCAGAAAAGTTTTTGGTCACTTTTGACTGACTGATGCACGCGTGCGAGGGTGTTTGTATCAAAAAAGTTCAAACAAGGAGGACAACGACGGACTTACCTCTCAAGAAACTTTTTGAAAGGCTCTCCTCTCAAGTGATTGAAAATCTCCTCGATGTACGGCTGAAAATCAAAGAGTTTTATTCCTCCCTCGCTGCTCTTTTTTTTCTCCTTCGGTTCTTTTATTTCACGATGACTGTTTTGTTAAAAGAAAACAAAAAAAAAAAAAAAAAAAGATTAAAAAAAAAATGTTTTTGTTTGTATCAAAAAAAGCTTATAATCCTATTAAAAAAAAACTTTTTAAATTTCAAATAACGATATTAAAAAGAATTTCACTTTTTGTTTGTTAATTACCATTTAAGAGTAATAGAGATTTATTTAAAAAATAATCTGTACTACACTCTTCTTTCGAAATTCTATTTATGTTTTTAAATGCACTCATACTTCAATTAAATTATAGTTATGTCCAATCTTACTAATGAAAATTCGTTTTGAAAAGCTAATATATAATAACTACGAAAAAAAAGTTTGTGGGTAGTTTATGTTACTTGCGAGTCTTCTCAACCAATTTATTTCCCCAAACTCATTCATCATCGAAAAAAAAACTGCAAGTTTTCCAACATCGGTCGCACCGTAGGGCACGTATATAATATATCAACAGAAAATGGATGCATCAACTACTCCTTCTCTCCTACACAACTTTGAGAATATTTGTTTTTTCAGTGCCGCACAAGTGTGAATAATAGGTCAAGTACTGTGTAAAAAATTTACATTCTTTTTTTGCATGCTGCATAACTCCGTTATTATTCTTAAATATTCATAAAAAAAAAAAAATTTGCATCTCCACCGTCAGGTCTTGAACTTTTTATTGTTCATCTTAAAATTTGTTGTTTGGTTTCTTTGACATTAAAGTTTGTTATTTATAGTCACCGAATAGGATGTAAATCTATACGTATCTACATACTGTCGTAACCTCAAGTGTGTACTTTTGCTTAAAAATGATTGCCAAATTACTTATTCGAAAAAAACTGCGAATACTTGTAGAGTTCTTAATGAAAAATTACTTATAAAATTTATAGCCGATTCTCATTATGTTGAGTTGCTTAAGACATGTGTCGAAGGTGAAAAAAAAACTCTTTTGTTTACCCAGAAAAAATTCAAACATCTTAAACAAAAGTTATCTTAGCGGATAACTAATGATAAGCGATAAAAAACGACAATAAGAAATCATAAAATCGTGTTTTAAGACTGACAATAAATTTTAATAACTGTCATCATTAGTTACTATTTGTTATTGGTTATTTATTAATTATCATTTATTATTATA